CTCTCTATTCCTGGCTCCCTCAGGCTCACTTCTCTTTATCAGCTCAGCCACTAGCCACTTCTCAACAGCTGGACTCTGTCCCCCTTGATGTCTCTGCGACCCCCCTTCTCACTCCATTCCAGGAAGACAGGAAGGTTGACTCCCAATGTTCTGGCACAGAGGATTCATCTCTGACCATACTAGGCCTTAACTAGGATTCTAAGTATTAATTATATAACCACTTACATCAGCTAATACCAAATAAGGTCTATATGAGCTACATAATGTTCTATCACCTATTTCCTCTGGAATAGGGTTTATTTTTCACCACTACAGCAGAGACCAAGCTGAGGAGCCGACCTCAGTTGCTGTGGACAGCTGGGTCTACCGCAAGGCGCACAAACTCACTGGTCCAAGCCCCAGTGGCTAGGACCCTACAAGGTAGCAGAAAGCACCACACACTGTGTTAAACTGTGGCTCACTGATAACAAGTTAAGTAACTGGATCCACAAAACAAACTGCACACCAGCAGAGGATCCCACTGTTCGCACAGTAAGTCAAAGCCTTTAACATCTTGACTCAGGTCATCCCCCTGCCAGTCAGGTGGGACTCATAGCTTTTCAGATAAAGCATTTTCAAGAACCTCAACAAAGTTCAGCTGCCAGTAAATATCTGAGAACTTTTTAAACTCACTCACAATAGAAGATTTCAGACAGCAGGGATTCATACTTCATACATGTTCAGTCAGCCAGCCTAATTTTCAGCATCTTAAGTCAAGTGAACCCTTACCATTCAACAGCTGACCAACACTGTAGTGCTCAAGATTTCTGGTTTTTCCCTTTAGTTTGTGACTTGTCTGTATGCTTTTAATATCTTCCACATAGAAATGAACAGCATGATGTCATTTATTGGGGCACTGAAAAAAGTCTTGTAAAAAGCCGCAGTAAAACAGGTCTACCAACAACAGTGGACTTGGGCCTCCAGAGTTTGATCAAGTTGTTTACATGTTGGTCACTCTTGGTGGAAAGTTTAATGTGATCCATGGAGGCTGAAGCAGTCTGATAAAAATATCTGACAGGCTCAGACAGTTCTCTTTCCATCTTTTGGAGATGAGCAAACACTAAGTACATTCCAAGGCCAGGTCATTTTTGATTCACATATTCCTGTTATATAATTTCCCTCTTTCTAAATGGATGAAGAATTAAATGCAACATATATAATTCTTGACAGACTTGTGGAGCTTCACAAATACAGATACCTTTATTTTAGGGTTGTTTTTACTGTATATATTCTAATAATCTACAGTAATTCTACTATTGTGTACCTGATCTAGAACCACCGTGACCTTCATGAGCCTATGTACATTTTCATTGCAGCCTTGTTACTGAACTGTGTTCTTTTCAGCACTAATATCTACCCGAAGCTGTTGGTCGACTTTTTATCTGAATAACAGACCGTATCTCATCGAGCATGTCTTGTTCAGTTTTACATGTTTTATACTTTAGGTGGTTCAGAGTTCTTACTGTTGGCAGCCATGGCCTATGACAGATACTGTATGTGTCTATATGTAAACCTCTGCAATATCAAACTGTGTCATGAGAAGAAAAATTGTTATTATTTTTCTGGCTTTATCTTGGCTTGTTCCTCTGTGTTTGTTTGTGGGTTTAGTGGTACTGACTTCTAATCAGAAAATCTGTAGCTTTACTCTGAAAGTCATTTTTTGTAATAACTCCATTTACAACCTATTCTGTGTGCCTTCAAGAGGAGTATCTATTTTTGTAAATGTTGTGGTGCTTCCTGTTCTCTTCATACTTTTCACATACAGCAGGATATTTATAATATGTTTCCACAGTGGTGGAGAAGTCAGGAGCAAAGCTGCACAGACCTGTAGTGATGGCCGTTTGACACCCAAGGCTCTGACACATGCGCGGTAGCTCATAAAGCAATTGTCTCGAACCACTGTGCTGAGGCGTGTTTCGGTCACGTGACTAGTGACATTTGAATCACTTGAGTGACGTCCGAAGCAGTTGGGTTCGTCGGACGTCAGGTGAATCAGTTGATTGGTTCGGTTTGTCATGTGAATCACTTTGGATCAAGTGTGTTCAGAGATAGGATATCCCTATTTACTGGTGTTCATTTGAATCTGTCTTTGCAGAGTAGGTTGGTTTGTTGCTTTGAGAGTTAGTAGTGTTGATTGTGTATTTAGTGGAGAATCACTGTAGATAGTGAGATAGATCAATAGAAAGCTAGATAGTAAGTTACATAGAGAAAGAGATAAAATAATTACATAGATAAATAACACTAGATATAGTTACATAGATAGTCCTAAATAACGTTAGATATAGATAAGATATATTGCATATATAGTTACCCAAACCTCTATGAATTATCCAAGCATTTCCTGTGTACCCCATCCTCATCTGTGCCATGTGAACGGGTTTTTTCCAAGACTGGGGAAATAATAATTATAATAATAAAGCTTTATTTATATAGCACTTTACAGCTCCGGGGAGCACAAAGTGCTGCACAATAGAACATGTATACAATACTAGAACAATAAAACCTAAACAAGAATAAAACACAAATTTCCAAAATCGGAGCAATAAAAACTTCCATATCAAGATACAAATAGCATAAAACAAAAAGTTAAAAGACGTCCCTTCAGGACAAATAAAACGGATTAAACACCAAAGGCCTGTTTAAAAAGGTGAGTTTTTAAAGTTGACTTAAAAACCGCTAGCTTGGTTATGGACCGAAGCTCTAGCGGTAAAGAATTCCAGAGTCTGGGGCCACACACAGCAAAAGAGCGGTCGCCCCATTTTT